AAAAAAAAAAAAAAAAAATTCATATAACAACGCATGCAAATAGCATGCAGACTGTTAACTCAGACGCGAGAGTGCGTGGAGTCGGAGAGGCGCGGGGACAAGGGGTCTCCAGCCTGACCCCGCCCCCTGCTCCTGCAGAAGCGCTGGCGCGCTGGGAGGCGGTGGCCACGGAATCTGCGCGGCGACTGGACCAGGCTCAGCGACGCGCAAGCGCGGCGGAGACAGAAGGCGAGGCCTGCGTAGCCCGCGAGGCGGCACTGCGCGAGCGCGTGTAAGTAAAGGGCGGGCCCGGGGAGGGGGAGAAGACGGGCGGGCGGGAAGCACTGCCAATGCCTACGCAGGGCTTTGTCCTTTTGTCCAATCATCAATTAGGGGCGTGGCGGACCAGTCCTAGCGGGAAGGGCTTCGGAGAAACTAAAAAGTGAAAAACTTTGGAGAAACTAAAAGCATTCGGGAGTTGGAACTTAGGAATGGTGAGGGAAGTGTTGTTTCTTGCGGGCGGGATCCTCCATGAGGGATCTCTGAAGGCTAGGGTTCTTGGGACAGGGCAGATGGCGTTCCCAGCGAGGGACCAGGAAAGGAAAAGAAGGATGCAAGGAAAAAGGAGTATTAAGGAAAAGGTCGGCAGTTCTAGGAGCAGAGATTCTGAGGAAGGGGCTGGAGTCTCTATGGTGGGGTCCTGGAAATGGTCTGCGTGGAGAAGGGATGCAGGATCCCGGACAATGGGGATCTCTGGGGATAGAATCCCATCAGGCGGATGAGGGCTGGGGATCTCTGGGCACAGGGATCTAGATGCTGACAGGTCTCTCTCCCCTGCCCGGCAGTAACAACCTGGAAGCTGAGATGGGTACCCAGTGCAGAGGGCCGCGGCCTCGGCCTCGCTCAGAGTCGAGACCCCGGCCCAGCCCCCGCTCGGGGTCCAAACCCCGGCCAAGTCCCGGCTCTCGCTCTCGTCCCGGACCTTCTGGGGGCTGCCGGCGGCCAGCGAGGCGTGCACGAGGGTGAGTTGGTCCCCAGCAGAGTGAGAGCTGGGTCCAAGAGGACAAACTCTGTGGAGGTCCTGCGGGAATGTGTGTGGAGGTGCCCACGCTGGGTGAGATGCTCATTGACACCTATCAACGCTCAAGCTCAACTTTAGACCCAGGAGCCGCCCTGGACGGAAACAGTACATGAAGGAGATTCAGCCCTGACCAAATAGTGCTTATTCTGCAGATGGGGAAACTGAGGCCCATTTGATTACGCAGTGAGATAATCCTGAACTAGGATTTGAAGTTCCCTCTAACAACAGTGTTGCCCTCATCCCACACATATGGGAACTTGGGGTCCATCCCTGGCTCAGGAGTGAGTGACCTGGAGAGGTCACTTTCCTTCTCTGGGTCTTAGTTTACCCTGTCTGTAAAACAGGTGATTGGACTCATGATAGGGAGCAGGCATATCCTTGACACCAAAACCAGGCAAAGAAGACACAGTAGGAAAACTACAGACCACTCCCTCTGTGAGGAGTGTACAAAACTCTCAGATGAAATTTTTAACATAGAGAACAAAGTAACATGTTTTACAAGTACTCTGCAACAAAAGGGACTTATGCATGAAATAGATGGAGGTATGGTTCAGTATTCCACTGAAGTCTATTAATCATTGTACTAATTGATTAAACAAGAAAATTTATAAATTCTATAAAGGCCATCAAAATCAGGGTCAAGGTGAGGATGTCCACTGTCAAGTATTTAATATTGGTCTAGAAGTATTAGCCAATGCAACTAGACAAGAAAATGAAATAAAGGTATGAACTAAAGGAAGAAAATCTATAGGTTAAACAATACAAAAATGCTGTTTATATGGGTCAAAAAAATTGAAATATTGACATTTTCATATGGCTCAATTTCACATTAGTTTTGTGTTTCTATATTTAATTTTTAATCTTTTTAAATGTTTACCTTTTATCTAAATTTAATAACCTTTATATGTGGCATAGCTTCAGACTTACAGAAAAATTGGAAGATTAGTACAAAGAATTTCTGGATACATTTCACCTGGATTCCTGAAATGTTAACATTCTCTTTTTATCCATTTTGCTTTACCTATCTCATGTATGCACTCTCTCTCTCTCTCAAGACTCTTAAACAACAGCAGAGTTAGGGCCACTCTCTAACAGTTGAAAATCCACATATAACTTTTGAGTCTGCCAAAACTTAACTACCAATAGCATACTGTTGACTAGAAGCCTTTGATAATATAATAATATAAAAAGACAATTAACGCATATTTTGTATGTTATATTTATTATACACTATATCCTTACGATAAGGTAAGCTAAAGAAAAGACAATGTTATTAAGAAAATCACCAGCCTGGGCAATAGCAAGACCCTGTCTCCACAAAAAATAAAACAATTAGCTAGGTGTGGTGGTGCACACCTGTAGTCCCAGCTACTTGGGAGACTGAGGTAGGAGGATAGCTTAAGCCCAGGAGTTAGAGGCCGCCATGAGCTATGATGATGCCATGGCACCCCAACCTGGATGACAGAGTGAGACCCTGTCAAAAGAAGGAAAGAAAAGGGCTCGGCGCCTATAGCTCAACCGGCTAAGGCACCAGCCACGTACACCTAAGGTGGCGGGTTC